CAAAGGCCATATTAAGAAAATTAAAACGGATTTTATTTACATGGACGAGTTTGCTGAGGTATCTACATAGAAACTTGGCCAGAAAACAAATTTGAAAATCATTTTGTTGCTGCCAAAGTGATTACAAAATAGTTAAATATGATGATTATACTGCAAAAATTTTTGATATTTTAGCAATCAATTTGAATGCTCTGCATAAATATCTTAAAATATCTAATAAAATTATTTTCAAAGCTGTATCTGGTCAAATTTTTAAATATTTCAACTCTATTCTTTTTATGTATTTTAATCTTGTTCATAATTTGCAAAAAACAATTTTAATTATCTGTCAAATATGAGTATATTTAATATATGTCAAAATAAATGTTTCGTTAAATTATCTGATGGTATTATTAGTTTGTTGTGATGTTTTTAGCTCTTTTCCAAATTTTTGTTGCGACACAACGAAAAACGATGTTTCCAGAAAGAACTACTTTTAAATAATAAAAATAAGCCAATAACGAGACGGAATAATTAACAAACTTTCATCGGTCGCGCAGTATGTGCCATTGTTACTTCCAATCTCTCATTGGGATTTTCCAATAGTTATCCAATTCAATCCAATCCAATTCAATCCAATAATTGAATCGCTTGTTTCACAAGTGGCATAAGTCCATTTTTGTAGTGTTTGCAAACAGAACGTTTCCCGCTCGTAATTTCTCTATCTAATAAAATAAATCAATTCGTCGCACACTTACGCCAATGAAAATTACAATTCTAAAAGCAATCCATGTCTCGTATCTTTGGTTCACCACTCGTGAATCAAATCCTAATTGCAAATGGAATACCTTCCCACACAATCGCTTATCCTCAATTCACGTGGAAGTTATCGAAGCTACCGGAGGACATTATCTCCTAGCAGATGCTAAATCCTTCAGTTGGAAAGCTAGATTTCCAACAAACAATTTCATACAAACAACGAACAAAAAAAAATGAGTATCCAAATGATGATCGACTAATACAGTCCGATTCCCGATGTGACCTAGGTGGAGAGGCGTTCGCGCCGTTGCTCAACTACATGTACACCGGACGACTGGAGGTGACGCTGGACAACGTTTACAGTGTGTTGCTGGCGACCCATTTGCTGCATATGCCGGGTGCGCTGGAGCAGTGCAGGGCCGCGCTGCTGAGACTGCGAGCCCCGCCGCCCCTGCCGACGCCGCCGATGCCGACGTCCGCGTCGACGACGTCCGGATCGCCGCCGGGGACCGCCGGCAGCATCCTGCGACCCATACCGAGCAGGCTGGTGGTGGGCCCGCCGCTCTGTTGGCCCCCCGACGACCCCGCTCGCGTATCCGCCGGCCGCGCCGGCGGCACCGGCCGCGATGTCGCATCTGCCACCGTCGATGCAGCCGTTGATGCCGTCGAGCGTCCCACCCGGGATCGGCGTCGCCGCGTCGCGAGAGAAGCCGGAGCAGTGCGCGCATTATAGGTTCGCAGCGTGCGATCAGATCCCTTTAGCTTCCCGGTGTGTTAAAATATAAATACAAATCAGATGGATTGTGCTGTTCTCATTTAATTTGGAGATTTTTGGAGGTCTCAACAAAAATTAATCTCACGCAGGAGAAAGAAATCTTGTTGACATACCTAAAAATTTGGCCAAATACAAATCTGTCAGAAATAATTATGTAGGACGTTCCAACTGGTTATTAGAATATCAAAACTTTTTATTATTATATTAGATTATATTTAGTCATCATGTTTAAGCTCATCCTCATAATAATTGATAAAGGGACTATTTTCAGACTTATATCAAAATTTTTGAATACTTAATAAAATCATATAAAATTTATTAATTTTAGTAATCTCGTATATTATTATTATTATAACTGCATTTAGATGAATTTTATTTAGCCAAGATAGCATCGTGTCGCAATAAAGATTTTTATTATTAGTTCAGAAAAGAGAACATTGCGTTATTTTTATAGTAGCAAATTTCTATCAATTTTTCTCCCGATTTAGCTATCATTTGTGTGTTGTTTTTTTGTTTTTTTTTTTTTTAACAAAAGAAAAATATATTTGTAAAAATTAACTATGAAGTTAAATAAAGTATTTAATTTTAGTGGAGAAGCAACAGATACACAAATGCTTATCAGTTTCTGTATAATAATAATGTGCGCGACATAAATATATAATAAGTGATAATAACAACAATTCATTTTAAAGAATCTTTAAAGATTGAAAATTATTCAAGATTGATAAGGATTAATCAAAGATCGTGCAAATATTTACAGCGCTGGCGAGGTGTCAAAGTCGCCCCAGTCCTCGCCGACCATGACGGCCCACAAGCGGCCTAGATTGAACCCTAGCAGATCGAGAACACCGGAGATCGTGTCTACCGTGTCCACCCTGCCATTCGTGGCCGCCGCCGCGGCCGCGTTCACCGCGTTCGCCGTGACGAGCAGCACGGCGAGCTCCGCAACCCCGAGGGCACCCGCGTCGCCATCGCGCTCGATCTCGCCGGCTCTGTCCTCCGTGTCGCGAACGCACTCGCCGGTGCACCACAACAGCGACAGGTCGACGGAACGCGAGAGCCAACGAGAGGAGGAGGTCGAGGACCGTTCTCTCAGATCGTCCAGCGATCAGCCACGCAAGTCGGCATCCGCCGACAGCAGAGCTACACCGAATCGCAATCGTGGCAACAGCAACAGCAACAGCAACGACGATATCGGAGACGCCACGATGTCGGAACACGACCGAGTGCGCTCGTCCCGTCGCCGAGCTCGACTGCCGAATGCGAAAGAGACCTCCGCCACGAGCACCGTCTTCTCCGTCGTGTACGACATCGCGTGCTGCGACGGACCGGTGCGCTTCCACCGCGTCTTGAACGAGAATTACTCCTCGGCGACGTCCTACGGTACGCCGCCGTCACGTCCGTCGAGGAACTGCCAGGTGGCGGAGAGCGAGGATCCGTCGAGCGAGAACGACGAGAACGGCGGACCGGGGACGCGAGGCAGCGGCCACGCGCGCAGCCCCAGCAACGACTCGAGCAACGACGGCAGCAACAACGGCGGCGGCGGCGGCGGCGGCGGCTGCTATACCTGCGGCTACTGCAAGCACACCTTCAAGTCGCAGTACTGCTACAGGAAGCACGCTAAG